GAGTAATTATTTCTGATTTCATTTTTCCCAGATCCTCTTTTGTTGCCAGTTCAGGGAGTCCAGGTAGTTGAGTATCAGATTGTTCCATCTCCTTTCCCTTTGGGGTTGCTTTAGGTGATCTGGAAGTCTGTTTTTGAGGCTTGTTTACGTGTCCTCTCATTTTCACAGGGGGTGGGGGGAGGTGCTTCTGGTGCCCCTGCAGCTCACCTTCTCTCCCCTAGAAGCCTGGAATTGTGGTGGGGGAGCCTCCTCCCAGGTGCTGGGATTGGCTCACCTTCTCTGCCCTAAAAGCATGGAATCTGTGATCTGTTCTTAAACAGTCCTGTCACTGTGATCCAGTGTGGCTGACATAAATACCAAAGTGCTGAAATAGCAGGTAATGAATAGGAACCAGTGGCAAGTGAAAATTGGAAGAGTAAGTGATAATTTTTGTTCTGTGCAATGTTGAAATCTCCATATCTCTTTAAAATGTGAGGCATGATAAAAAAATACAGAAATGCTTAAAATTTTTTAATTATTATAGTAAAAGTCACATTACTATCAATCCCCCTCATTGTACTCTTTTGCTTCAAACACACTTATTCAATCATTCCTGCCATTTTCTGAAGTAATTCTGGAAGTCCTCCTTCATAGATATCTTTAGTTGGCCTGTCATGGCTGCATTGATGTCCTGAATCAATTGAGAACATTTATCTCTCATGGTCATTTTGACTTTGGGGAAGAGTCAGAAGTCACATCATGCCAGATCTGGTCAATAAGGTGGATGAACACACTGTAATGTTTTTATGAGCTTGTGTTTCCATTTGATTTTCATTGGGAGCAGAATTCATCATATTTTTTGTCATACCTTGTAAAGGCATTCCCAAAAGCAGACTTCCAGAACTGCTTCACAAAGTGCCAAGAATGATGAGATAAGTGAGTATTTTGAGGGAAATTAATGACAATGTGACTTTTACTATAATAAATTTTCTCATTCACTATATATTTTGATTATTCCTTGTATGCTTCATGGTATCTACAGAATAAGGGAAGAATCTTAGAAATTAATTGTATTCCCCTGAGAGAAAAGAGACATTGAGAGCTCTAGTGACTTGCTGAGCTTACAGCTGAAGTGGCAGAGCTACTTTGGAATCCAGGCCTCGATCTGGTGATGCAGGACTCTGCCCTTTCACAACTTCTCTGAGAGTGCTGATTCCTGGCCAAGCAGTATGAACACACCCTTCAAAGGCAAAATGGTAGAATAAGGAGATTACTAAACACAAGGGAAAATCAAAAAGTCCTTGAAAACCACTACTTCTATCACAAGTCACCATATAGTGATGTTCCAAGTTTATGGAGAAGAATATATGAATTTGTATTTGGAGTCTTTGGGGGTGCATTTATAGTATCAGCTTTAGGATGTATCAAGTAGCAAGGTAATATTTATCATGCTCTAATTGTGACTTTTACAAGCATCTTCTTTAGTGAGCTCTAGTAGTTTCTTATGATTAGTAACATAAAAATGAAAACAGAAACAAATTGTACCTGTCTCTGAATTAGTTTGTTAGGGCTGCCACAACAAAGTAACACAGACTCTGAGGCTTAAACAAGAGAAATTTATTTTCTTGCAGTCCTGGAGTCTGGAAGTTTGAGATCAAGGTGTCAGCTTTATAGGAAGACTCTCTCTTGGCTTGGAGATGGCCAGCTTCTCTGTGTCCCCACGTGTCTGTGTCCTGATCTCTTCTTATAAAGGCAGGCATCATATTAGGTAAGGACTCACCCTTCTGACTTCATTTTATCTCAATCACATCTTTAAAGACCTTAATTCCCAATACAGTCATGTGTAGAGGGTATTGGAGAGTTAGGGGTTTAGCACATTAGTTTTCAGGAACACAATCCAGTCCATACACATATCTGCATGTACTTTCCATCTACATCTCTCTGTATATTTATGTGTCTTATGCAAACCTGAAATGATAACAGTGAGCTCTCTTCTAAATCCTATTGTGTGACAACAAAGGGTACATATTTCAAGTTTCATTTCCCCAGCTTAATTAGCAGGTGGCCTGTTAGCACAAACTCATCAGGAATGAGCATTCTCATAGCCAACTGTTAGCCAGTTTTGGGGCTCCTGAGACTGACTGCTCCATTAATGGTTGGAAGGGTGAACACGGCTCAGGGAAGTTACAGAGCTGCTGGCTTCCTGTTAGAATGCCCACATGGCATCAGGGCTGAAGGGGAGCACTGCAGGCAGCAAAAAAGAGACTTTCACTGTAAGCATCCTCTGGTCTCAGTCCTTTGATGTTCTTTGAGGCATGTCCTGATGGCTGGGACACTTGTCTACACACAGGAGGTGCAGACATGAATGTGGGACAGTTATTCAGTTCTTTGAAGTAAGTGGTTTTGCTTAAAGTAGAATGCACAGGATTTCCTTTGGTTTTTGTTTTTAAGGAATTGAGTTTATCCAAGAATATGGCCTCTTCCCATCCAGCTACATTCCTTCCTCTCTCCCCCTTTTCTCCTTTGTTTCCGTAACTCCATCTCTCAGTTATTTATAAAGTGAGGGTCTGCTATGTACCATGCACTCTGCCTGGTCCTGTGGGGGCCTCAGGTGACTCAGAGACACTCTGCCTTGCATGTTTTATTCTGATAACCTATTCCCTGTTCTGATCTTGGGTATGATTTCAGCCATTTCTCTGCTCATTCTCTGGCAAATCTGAAAGCCACTTCGGCTAGCAGTGTCCAGACCTGCTCTCTCTTCACAGTTCTCTGTCTCTCTGTAGGATTGATAGTGCTTTCAGGCCAATGGTTAGCCACCTCCAGGTTTCTTCCCTCTCAGCTGGTACCCAAGTGGAGGCTGCTGGCTCTTGACCCCTCTGCCCGGATGTTGTCACCTCACTCTGTCTTGCTTCCCAGCCTGCTTTATTTTTTTTCCCTTTTCTGAGCTGTTCTTTCTGATTCCTCCCACTTCTTCCTATTCTCATTTTGACTCCTTTCCCGATTCACATTGATCATCTCTGATGAGCTGGCTTGGTGTGCAAAAATAAAGGTTCCCATGATCTGCTTCCTCTCTGCCCACTGTTGTTTATTCCAGGGAATAAAGACACACTTCCAATGTTCCTCCTAGGGGCCAAGGGTACAGAGAAGGGGTTTTCAGATCATTTGCCAGTTTCTACCACCCTCACTCATCCTAAAGTTACTTCTAATTATTGAACATTAGCCAACATAATTATTTTCTAAGTGAAGAGTGGGAAGAGTATGTAGGGCAAAGGATCGGACTCTATAATAGGGTTTAAATCTCATCTATAGGTTACAAAATGTTATATTCATGTCTGGGAATAGTATTCAACTCAGGCATATATTCTACTTGTAAATTTCATTCTTATAACTTTAGTTGTCGAGAAGAAGTGGTTAGAGAAAAAGAATTTTAAATCAATTATCACAGCCGTAGAGTGTATCCTCTCCAAGATCGGGGCTGACCACCTCCCTCTGTAGTCTGTTAGATAACCGCTAACCAACGGACTCATTCTTCATGCCCCACAAAGGGTGGCAGTCTTTCACTTCATCCCCATCAGGATGGCAGCCTGGTTCTCCCTGAGCTCCTTGAGGGCCCAGCCAGTCTCAGCCATGCTTGTGCCCCAGCAACAAGCAGAGACGGTGCCTATGGAGACTCAGTAGAAGTGAGGGGAGTGGAACAAAGGGAAGAACTTTCTCTGGCCTGCTGTAATCCCTCCCCTGCATCACTCTGGTGAACTTAGTGTCCGAAGCACTCATTTGGACATGTGCCGATGTGCCTTCCAATGCTGTTAATTAGCCCTCTTAAGGCTGGATACTTTGTCCTTCCCACCCAGATTGGCTGTTCTTGAGAAGAAGGACAGTCCTTCACTTTCCCCCCTGCCTCTTGGCCTCTGTTTCCTACTGCAGAAATGGTATTCACAAATATTGTTTAAGTGCTGTTTCTTTTTGCTGGACATCAGTGTCTATTGGGAATCACGTTTAGAAAGCTGATTTTGTAGGAGCCATGATTTTACTGTAAATAAATCTATGAGATAAGGTTGATTTCTGTGCATTTCAAAAGGAGAAGTAAATTATCTGCCACTTTGTGCTTAGTTTGGCCCAGCCACATTCACTGGCAGTTGCTTTGCCTCTGACCCTGAGCCAGACTGAGTTCCCACCTGGTGTGAGTTCAGAGACCTCAGGGAGGTCTTGCTGCCAGACCCTGAACTGGTCTTTCCTCACCAGCTGGCCACAGATGGTCAGCAGGTGTGTGTGTGTGGTGGTGGTGGGGCTCCTGCCAGCCTCCTGAGCCTTGCTGGGTGGTATTGCTACCTGCTGCTCTCCTAGAGCAGCCCCTGCTGCATGGTGCAGAACTGCTGCCCTCCTTGGTGTCCCGTCCCAGTCCATCCTCTGGGTTTCAGAATAGATTTTGCTGTAAGTTAGCAGACTTAACTCCAAAAAGCCTGCACTGTGGTTTTTCGTGAAACCTCAAACTTCTCTGCTTAAGAATAACGTACAGAGGGGAAATAAACCTTGACAAAGCTAACAGCAGGGATTTCAAGCAGTGTTTTAGCAAGCCAGTCACAGAGTATTCACGTGTTAATTCACTGGCATGTTCCTCGGCAGAAGCACCCCCTCTGCCTCCCCCAAGTTCCAACTGTTGTGCTGCCGCAGGATTCGGTCTGTCTGTCAGAACGGCTTCTTGATTCTGTTACAGCAGGAGTGTGGTGAAAGTGATCCTTGGCTTCCCATCGCACGCACACAAAGGCGAGCAGCTCCTTAAAGGGACCGGCCCGCTCCTCCATGCAGCTGCAAACGCCTGCCTGTGCGGGCTCATCAAGCCGGGCTTTCGCCCGAGGATGAGTGGGGAGGGGTCCTGAGGCGCCCCCGCGTCCTCCCAGAGCGGGGGAGGGAGGGAGCCGCCGGCCGGAGCGCCTGGCGACCACGGACCGCGAGGACCGGCTTTCCATTCGCTGCTAGCTGGGATGCTCCGAGCGCCAGCCGCGTCCTGCCTGAGGTCCAAGGATGCTGGCGGCGCGTCCTGCGGTATGCCTGAGCTGATTTGAGCCAGCGCCCAGAAGCGAGCTGCATTCCGGCGCCACGGACTGGCTCCCGGCAGGGCTGTGGGCAGTCACCATGAATGCTCAGCTCTAGGCTGCTGAAACAGCCTCCTGACTACTTGGATTTGGCTGTTTAATCAGCCGAGATTATCGCCGGGGAAGATTTCGGAGCCCGATCGGCGCTCCAGCTGCTGTGACAACTTCGGGTCTGGCTGTTTACTTCTCTCGGTCCCGGGGACTCTGTCCTGCACGGCAGCCACCCCCGCCACTCGGCCGGTTCGGCTCGGAAGTCAGCCGTCAGGACTCGTCTGACGGTGTCCCCGGGAAGGGGGAGCCAGGAGGGGTTAAAAGACGAGCAGAAACCCCCCAGCTGCTCAGCCTCTCGTGACTGCCTGTGCTGTGGGGTTCTGAGAGGGACCGTGAGCTTTCCGGGGAAGCAATGCAAGTCTCCATAGCCTGCACTGAGCACAATTTGAAGAGTCGGAATGGTGAGGACCGACTTCTGAGCAAGCAGAGCTCCACCGCCCCCAATGTGGTGAACGCAGCCCGGGCCAAATTCCGTACGGTCGCTATCATCGCGCGCAGCCTGGGGACGTTCACCCCCCAGCATCACATTTCTCTCAAAGAGTCCACCGCAAAGCAGACTGGCATGAAATATAGGTATGGATGTAAGATTCCCTCTGCCCCGGGATTCCGGTTTCTGCACAGGTGCAGGCAGGCGAGGCAGTCCATCGCTTTTGAAAAGTGACTTACTTAGAGTGGGTTGCTTAATTTAGAACTCTCAGGTGTTTTTAAAATAGCTCTTTAGAAGGATGGAAACGCTCGAGGTGGGGTTGAGTGCGTGTGTGTGTGTGTGTGTGTGTGCAAGTTTTAAAAATTGTGGCCCATTTTGTATATACTAAGTGTTATGAACACCTTAGGAGGTATATAAATTCCAGTCTGCTGGAGGAGACACACAACTGCTGGAAACTGGCATTTAGATTAGGACATTTTTAGGAGCAATTTTTAAATTTTGGGTACATATGTAGTTTCTGCGATTATACTATCAGAAACAGTTGCTCATCTAGTACTGGGCTCTTATTTGTCCTTTGTAAGACCAAATATCAAATGCTACATACACAAAGCTTTTATGGAAGTTTTGTTGTAGAAGAAATACCTATAAATTAGATTGAACACTGCCATATTCAAATCTAAATTCCTGCATGAAATAAAATATGAAATAAGGAGAAAAGATAAATTGTTGCCATACTACCAGTTTCTTCAAATTTTTAAGCTCCTTCTTCCTTTATATTGTTTTTTAAACATGGAAATCTCCCTGGTAATAGCTGATATTCTTTAATAGAGAATGACTTAAATTTGATAAGTAAAAAATTTCATGATTCAATTATGTGGTTTCTGCCTTCTCATTATTTGGGCTCTGCACCAATCCTTCTGGACTTTATTTCTTTAAAACTACTGTGCTTGGGCTGGGGATTTAGCTCAGTGGTTCCTGAGTTCGATCCCTGGTACCAAAAACAAACAAACAAACAAAAACCAAAACTACTGTGCTTCTAGTTTTAAAAGTGAATATAGAGGAGAGAATCTACTGACACATCTTCCAAGGTTTTTGTTACTCTAAGTTACAGGTATGGTTTTGCTAATTATTTACATTTAACTATCTCTCATCTCTTTAGGAATCAGGTTTTGGGATAGGATGAACTTAATACAATTAAAATAATGCACATCTAAGACTCTGCTTTCTATGTGGGGTTGTTGAAATAAGCATTTAAATCTATTTCTATAAAAGTTGTCCTTGAAAAGTTTCTTTGCAGAGTTACAGGAAAGCTTCTCACAGCAAGTAGTAAAGCACTGTTGTTTTGATGTATTTTTGAGCCATTGAGAAAGAAAGCCCTTAAAAGAAAACAAAGCAATTGTAGTTAAATCTCTTTTCCCAGCAGCAGTACAAACTCTGACCCTTAGCAACTCAGTAAAGTGTCAGCAACCCCTCTGCTTTTTGTGTTATTCCCATGGTGGAGAAGAGACCCCACAGTGACAGTTCTCTAAATGAGTCCGCAATCTCTAGTGCATTGGCCTTTCCTACCCCTGCTGCTGTGGCACACACCCACTCCCTGCCCTGTGGACGTGGTGCTGCTCTCTGCATGCATTTCTACTGCTGTGAAGACAAGCTGCTGCCTCCCTGGGAGTTCCCCCAGGAGGGGGACACTCTTCCTGGAAGATCAAAGAAAGTGGTGTGAATGGTGGTGTCTAGCATTTTGTGGCACTATAAACTTTCTTATTACAAATCAGAAGAAATCAAAGTAACAGTCTTTGTTTCTTGTGGCAGTGTTTCATAGTTGCTTTTGGATGACTGTATTGGAAGACTGTGGTCTTTTGAGGGGTTTTAGAAGTCTGAAGCTTTCTATTTAAGTTTTTCTGTCAACACAGCTCAACTCAGATTGATAACTGCTTCTGTTTCCCAAAACCTAGTGTGGGAGCAAGATTCTCTTGGGTATCTTTCAGTATCGGCAACTGAGGACAGCTTTTCTTTGACAAGTTAGTCATGAAGGTCTCCAGTACACTTTGAGATATCCACTGTTTGTGGTGACTAAATAAGATGCCTGCTCCTTATTCCTTCTCTTATTCTGAACCACTGTGTCTGTGACAGTCAGGTGGTGTGAGTGTGTGTGTGTGAATTCGATTTACCCCTCTCTTTCAAATTCTATGTAGAGTGATCTTTGTGAAAGAAATTATGAGATAATGCTGAATATATGCCATGGTTTCTTAGGGTTGAAAGGGAGACTCTATGCTTCATAAAAAATGACAGAAATATTTTTATTAGTTGAATTGTCTTTTTACATTGCTGTCCCCAAAATATGATATGCCTATGTGGACTATGTATTAATGATAACAAGTAGTAGAAAATAAAAATAATGCCACGGGATAAGGAAGGTTTGGGTAAACAAACTGGAGAATACTTGGAGGAACCAGAAAAGAAAGTTAGCACCTAGTTGTGGGCATAATATTCTTATCCTTGAAGATGGTTTCCATAGGCAGAACTTCCAGAAGGATCCACTAACCCAATAGAAAATAAAATGTATTGTTTTTCTATTTCTCTGAGGAGATTTATAACTTTCATCAGAATTTAAAGCATCTACTAGTCAAAAAATCATCAAACTGTTGTCAAGTGAAGAGGTACTCGTTTAGTCAACAAATATTTGCTGAGCACCTATTCTGTACCAGTAACTGTAGTAGAGCTGGTACACAAGGGGCATAAGCACGAGGAGGCTTGGGGCTTACATTCAAGACCATAAATAAGAAAACTAATAAAATAAATTTTTCTATTGTGAGACATTCTTATGAACACCTTGTGTTGGGTAGTGGGCGCCATACCTGGGCCAACTTAGTTTATTCATTTTTAGATGGCCAATGCTGCTTTAGTTCAAGGTTAATGACTACATCCTGCAGCATGAATAATTTGGCCATATCTGCCACCCATTTTGTTATCCTGATGGACATCTTGCAGGGCTAATCCTGCTGCAAGGAGCTACCTGGCAGTTGAGGACCTAATCATAACTTTGAAAACTAAGTAGAATGGTTTTTTCTTATATAATACCTTATGATATTTCAATACTAATTTATATCATCATCTAAGAATACCATCCACTTATCAAGAATTCATGAAATTGGGATTTCAGAAAGAATTAATATATGCTTGTGCAAAGCATCTGAATTCTGCAAGAAAAACGCTCAAAGGCTCTACTATATTTTTACCATCATTGTACAATAATCTTGCTTTAAATTGACTCTTGTTTCAAGGCTGAAGATCAGATAAAAATCCACTAAAACATTCATCTATTCAAATGTTGCTATTAGTCCAAGGGAACAAGAGTCTACCTATCATCTATCCTGGTGACTGTCTTAAATGTAAACCACAGAGCTATTCTGTTTCTTGGAGTTTTCACAGTTGTGCCTTGTTAATGCTTCAGTGTTCTTTTGTTTTAGTTTTGCATGTGTTTTTAGTTTCAGAGTTAATCACACCATGTTAATTTTATGGAAATTCTGCAATCATACGTGAAAGATTTGCACATGATAGATGTAGCTGAATATCTGAACCTTTTATCCTAAGAGCAAATCACTCAGAATAGAAGTTAAGTGAGGTTGGCTTGATTGGTTTTGCTTGTTTGTTTAGACTTTTTGTTTTGTTTTTAGACAGTTTTTTAGAATGATCCAGCCACTAATGTTTGACGTGGTTTCAGAACTTGTCATTTCAGGATAGAGTGCATTTATATTGATAAGTTCCTGCCCCTCTGATTCTGAAATCCTTCTTTAAATTCTAGAGCAATGTGAATATCAATGAGCCAAATTTCATTGAGAAAAGTTTTATTTGAAACATACACATCTGTAACAATATAATCTTGGCTGTGTAGTTACGTGCTTTGATAATTCTAACAGAATTCTTTGTAAAAAGAAATACAAAGTCATAATTTTTAAATTTCACTGAAAACATTATTTTTAAAAAAAGTTTAACCACACTTTAGCACTCATTTTTTGAAGTAATTATAGAATTTCTGTGTATGCTTATATTTCACCTTTCTCTAATGGTAAGATCTTGCATAATGACATCATGAAGTCAAAACTAGGAAACTGACATTGGTGCAATCCAAAGAATTTATTTAGATTTTACCAGTTATACATGTATTTATTTGCATATATTTATATGTTTGGGCAGTTTTATCACATGTATAGATTTGTGTAGCCAAGACCACAAGGAAGAATCATACTTTTTCTGTAATCACAAGGCTCCCTCATGTGATCCCTTTAAAGCCACTTCTATTCTCTTCCCCCTCCTTAATCCTAGGTAACCACCAATCTGCAAGCTATCTCTAAAATTTTACTCTTTCAAGAATATCATACAAATGGAATCTTACAATATATAATCTTTTGGAATTGACCTGTTTCCTCAGAGGATTTGTGCAGGCAAGTGGGGACAGAAAATCTTGTAGCTGTAAAAGAGGTCAGGTTGTGGCACTGTGCTGGTCAGGGTGCACCATTTAGATGTAAGGTGAACATCAGCAATGGAGGAAACAGTAGGAGCTTTTCAGCAGGGTGTGTGGTTACAAAGTTCAGTTAAGCGAGGGTTAATCTGGCAATTATTTCTCCAAAAGCCTAAGAGTTATGGGTTTCAAGTGAGAGAATTTATGTTCAATTTCATAGCGCTCTCTATTTTCCTATAGAAAAGCAAGACTATACAGAAAAGACTCAGTCCAGATACCAGATACCTCTCCCATGCCATTCCTTTTTGTCTCTTTAGTAAAGCATACATTGCAACCACCATTCCCTGCCTCCCACGAATGGTGGGCAGATTTTGAATCCAAGCAATTCAAGTGAAAGATCAATCTTGTCAACAATTATGTAAGAGGCACTAAGTGCATGTGCATGAGTGTGTGTGTGTGTGTGTGTGTGTCCGTCCATATGAGGAAAAGTAGGAGGAAGGGGTGGACTAGAGAGGAGGAAGAGAAAACCCAGCTCTGTAGCTGTGTTTCAAATAGAAATATTTGATTATAGTCCAGAGAAGAGAGCAGCTTGGTTATTTAAAATGCCAAGATTTTAATTTTGTTAGTAATGAGTGCCATCATCATTTCTACTGTCATCCATGGATGTGGGCTTTCCTCTCTGTCTAA